ATTTGGTGGAGAACAATAATATACCAGGGTAAAGCAGGGCAAAGATTTATGTATGTATATATACTTATCAAGCTATTTCCTTCAAGCAATATTATAGGGCAGAAAAGAAGTTTGTAGAAATAAGCCAAAGAAATTAAAGGCATGAGGTAAGAAAACAAAAATGCAGTTAAATGTCATGTATACTTCAGAAGTGGTATTCAGCAAGTTCTGACCAGTTCTAGAGAATCAGTAGCGTAAATTTTGAGTAGTTCAGAGAACCGGTAAATACCACTTCTGACTGCCCTTGCCCCCAACTATTCCCTGCCTCCCGAGTCCCAGCTGATCAGCAATGCCATGCCCACCATGCCTACAGAACTGGTAGTAAAAAAAATTGAATCCCACCACTGGTATACTTATACCATCCCATTTTGTTTTATCACTTCAAATCATCCTTGTTTCTTTGTGCATACCTTGACCTTTCTTCTTTAAACTCACCTCCTTTTGAAAAACTAATAAATACTGCCGATCTCTAACTTCTTTTCCAAGAGAATCTATTCTCTTCAAGTTAAAATGGCAGGCTGTGTTCTCCTTCCTCCGCTGAAGTCGCACGACGTTTTCATGAGGATTACAAAGTAGTGTGTTTGTTATTATGAACCATTGCATTTAATTCGTATTTTAAAAATGTAATAGGCTTTACAGTAGTCCATTCATAAGTACAGGTTGTAAGTTGATGTTCTTAACCCAGGCATTGCCTATACTCCTCTACCAACTTTCTCACATTCATTTTCATAATAACCTGTTGAAAAGCAAAAAAAAAAAAAAAATGTTCTGTATGGCCCTTGCCTAGCATAAGGCCACATTCTTGCAAAAGCACTACATATAGCCAAGTACAGTATCACTTTCCCCCTTCAATCTAGTAAGTAAGGAATAGAAACATGCACACAAAATATAGCCAGGATAGTACAGTGGTCAGAATGTAGCATTGCAAGAAAACTCTGCCCACAAATTTCTATCTGGATTTCGATTGTGACGGGGCTCAAGGTTAACTTAGACTTCCATCCTTCCGAGGTCGGTAAAATGAGGACCCAGGTTGTTGGGGGCAATATGTTGACTCTGTGAACTGCTTAGAGAGGGTTATAAGCACTGCGAAGTGATATAAAAGTCTATTGCTATAGATGTGCTCTCTCGCACATAATCCATGTAGTTATTTGGCCCCATAGAAAATGTATTATATAAATTAGATTAAATGTTCTAATTGGTTGCCATTTTCTTATAATCATTTGTTTGATGCATGACTTTTAAACCTTCCTGTAGAAACATTTTATCCTGAAAAAAAACAACATATTGCAACTATCTAAGGGGCCTGACTTTTGGTATACCCTGTGAATCACATTCATCCAAGCTTGTCTATAACTCCAGGACTGGTATAACTTCCCCTTTCCCCAAAGATTGCTAGTAGTAGGAACTATCTTTATTTTCATCCATTTCCAGCATCATTGACTTAAATCCTGTTAAAATATTCATGACTGGGAGAGACATGGGAAGAAGTTCAATGAATAGGCATAGGAACTAAGTCAGCCAATGGGAGCGTAAACAGATCTGAGTCTGTGCAGAGAACTGAAACAAAACCTTAAGCAGTCTGCTGCTCTGAGAAGTAAACTACCAATCTGTTTGGGCATGTCTGCTGAAATGAAACTAGCTGCTTGTGTTTGCCTGTAACTCTCCTGCCTTGTGTTTACTTGGAAGAACCACCTGTTGGTATTGTACATTTATTCGTCTATTCTTATGTATATATAGAATTTAATGAATCCAGCTGAATCAGTTATCTGTGTGTGCTTTCTGGATTTGAATTTTTGCCAAAAACTCTGACAAATCCCTCTTCCTGTTTACTGCAACAGAATAGCATCTCAGTGGTTCTGAGAAATCAGTGAAGCAACATTGTATGGTTTGCAACTGAAGATAAGGGGCTTAACAGTTAACCATACCCAATTTAACCTACTCTTTAATAAGTTAATCATCCTCACATGAGCCTCTGTGTTTCTCGGCTTTGGAGGCTTAAGATGTGTAGACTTCAACTCACAGAATTCCCCAGCCAGCAGGTTGAGAAACACTCTTCTAACTTCTAGGATGGACCATGAAAAAAAGAATACGTCCACCTGGCAGTCAAATGATTTGGGCCAACAGAACCTGAATGCCAAGAAATAACGTGGGAGCAAAACACCTACAATATTATTCAGGGATGGCTCAAAAAGAACAAAATACCTGTAGCTCAGGGGGTTCTTGGTGTTCTCTGAGCTTGAGTGTTAGCCTGCAGGGGTTTCATTACCCAAATAAGTAACAACAGAAGTCCTCTCTAGAGCAGGCCTGCCATCAGTTTACACCCTGTTGATTAAAGCCCAGACATATTGGGCAGGCCATGTGACAAGGATGCCAGACCACTGCATCCCCAAACAGCTCCACTATGGTGAGCTGTCTCAAGGAAAGCGATTGCACGGGGGACAAAGGAAGAATCCTCTCTCAAGTCCCTGGATATTGATACCATCTCCTGGGAAACCCTGATACAAGATCGATCGACATGCTGCACCTTGATCAACCAAGGTCTGCCTGACATTTGAAGACAGGACAACCATAGCACAACAGAAGGAGGCACTACACAAAGCCAGAGCTGCAAATGCTGCAATAGTGGTGCCAACACCTCTGCCCAACATGTGGCAGAACATTCCATGCCCGTATAGGCCTTACCAGTCACCTGCAGACACACCGTGGACAACCCACAACCCGCTAGATGTCAAGGTCCATTTCAAAAACAATGGACAAACATCACCCTCAAGTAACATCAAGTGGGCTAGTGTGAAGTTTGCTCCATTAATACAGAGTAGCTTGCCTTGCCAAGGTGCGGTTTTCTCGATAGTTCCCATTTCCAGAGAAGCATGGATTACCACCAGCAAACAATGAAGCTGAAAGTAATACCCTAATCAATATAAACAAGGGACAAACTCCACACTGATCCGCATTGTTAGTGTTATCTAATTGGGTAGCAAAACATCTGCAAGCAAACAACTAAGCTCAGAGAGCACCAAGGACTCCATCATTGGGGATGGTTTTAGCACTGGTGAGCAATTAGAAAACTTGCACAGAAAAGCAAAATGTAAAATATGATTGGTTGCTGTTTTCCTCAATCAGCCATAAGAGGGAGCTGGAAAGACTGTTAGCTCTCTGTTAGATGCTGGGCTGATCTGATTTGAGTGTGTTGGAAGCTGGCTGTTAAAAAGTGCTATTGTAAGTTTTGCAACTGGTAGCAAACTTTGAGGACCAGACTATTTGTATGATTATGGACTATATTATTTGGATTATCCCTTAACTGAAAGACATTAATGACTGACTGTCTTATCTGTGTATGACTTGAACTGTTTGATGGACTCTGATATCTATATTTCCACGAAAGTAAAAGCCTACTTAAATTGCAGTGTCTCTGTATGCTGGTTTGTGTGTTCTCCAACAACACTCTCACAACGCTTCTCTGAACGTACTTGCTCTCCCAATGGAGAGCTTATCTAAAAGTATAGCAGCTGATGAGCATTTAAACATTCTTACTTCTGCAGGATAGGGATCCTGATAAGCCTTGCCTATTTGCAAATATTGTTTTAGCAGTATGCCAATGTTTGTAATTGTAAAGCTACTGAGTTAATCACCCAGATTAACTCAGATTTAATGGGACACCACAATTTAAAACAGATTATGACAGGGCACAAATACCATTGGTGTAGCTTTGTCTCTCAATTTCTTGCAATCATGCTTTTCAAACGTCACTTCTTTGGAATCATTGCCCATACAACCGAAAGAGTATCTGTGTTGTTCTGATGTCTGCCTTGTTCTCCAAGTAAAAAACAGAATGGCTGTCATCTAGGGCAGTGATGGCTAACCTTTTTGATGCCGAGTTCCCAAAGCATGCTAACCCTAAACCTTAAAATGCGAGTACACCCTGCACATGCGCTGCCCCCGCGCATGTGCCCCCCCTCGCCCATTTGTGGCTTCCAGGTTGTTGCAGATGGATTTCCAGGCCCAAAACAGGGCAGAGGGGTTAACGCGCATGCACGGGAACCCCCAAAATGCAATGCAAGCACCCCCCGCATGCCTCCCCATGCATGCACATCAGAGACCAGCTGGCCAGTGGCAGGCGTGCACGCACGCATGATGGAGCTGGGCTGGGGCAATGGCTGGCGTGCCTATAGAGAGGGCTCTGCGTGCCACCTGTGGCATGCGTGCTATAGGTTCGCCATCACGGTTCTAGGGTATGAAGCCAACCCACCAGAAAAGCGCACATTTACACATGGTGTCTTCCGTAGAAAGTCTATAATCTGAGGTGCAAACAAGTAGCATATGAAATTGCATAAAATGTTCCATTTTGATCTTCAGTGCATCGAGAGGACACGAATTACAAATACCGAAATAATATACAGCAGTCATTGACTCTCACCCAATATAAGAATTAAACAAAAACTCAGTTTCAAGTTTATTTACTGTTTTACTTTTTTAAAAAAGATTTTCAGTGTTTTCCTTTTTTTTAAAAAAAAAAATACTGTTGCAGATCCTTGAACTACAGCCCAGGGCCTCCAAGTCTGTTTCTTTCTTCCTTAATCCCCAGAAGGCTTGAAATGCTTCTAAGCACCATTTCCCCAAATGGAAAATTATTTGTGTTCCCCACTTTACTGGAACAGGAGGTGGAGGCGAGGGGAAGTAAGCAAAAGGACCCTGAATTAAAGAAAAGGTCCCAGTGCTGCTTCAAAGCAGAAAAATATAGCAGGAAACTGTCCCACCAAATATTGATGCAGTTTATGCCACGTCTGAAATTCAGATCAAGTGGGAGACATATTTCTGCCTGTAACTGGCCCTGCCTAGTGGCATGTTTGACTCCAACATGTAGCATGCATAGGAAAATTCCTAGAGTGGAAACTTCATTTTTACCCCACCACCACCTGCCCCCAGTTTGGAAGCTGAATGGTTTCAAAAAGGGAGAAACAGTTTTCATGGGCGGCTTAGAAACTCTCCACTGTGAAAAAGAAACTAACTATATTCCTAACTTTAAATTGCCCTCCTCCCAATTCAAACCTTTTTTGTTTTGTTTTCCCACTTCCTATAAATTCCCCACCCACCCGCTGAAGTATGATTCTAAAGAATATTCAGATTAATGTTATTAATATTCATGCATTGCTGACTCTGCAGTGTGAAAAAAGGAGATGCCCCCAGCCCCTGAAAGGTCCTTGGTCCCTTCGATATCCCATTCATGCGGTAAGGACACCTATTAATCCATGATCAGTTAAGTAATATGCAGCAGTTTCATGGGGGTTCCCAGGTTGGTAAAATCAGGGACAGCTTGGAATATCTTAAGACCAAGTAGATGGAATGAAAGAAAGAACTCATCTCCTTCTTCCTAGTTGACGAAAGGGAGGAAGAAGGAGAAGGCAAAGTCCCACAAGGAGAGGTCCAATCTCAGGTCAGAACCGGCACTGCATCTAGGGTAGGAAAGAGACAGGGAGGAGTGAGCAAAATGTAATATTTTCTCTACAGAGAAAACTTGAGTCTAAACCTGATCGAGCTTAGTGAAATTCAGCTTTCTTTGACTCACACTCCGCATAAACAAATAGGGATGTTCACACCAGGCCTTGGGTGGCAACTGCTTGTGTGTCTTGCTTTCTGTTTTTGGATGCTTGGATGGTGTATTCAAAACTCCACACATATGAAACGAAGGACAGGCAGCCTGTGGAACCTACCCCTGTTTTAACTAGAAAAGTATTTCTTGACCTTGGCAACTTTAAGACACATGGACTTTAACTCAATGTTTAATGTTTAATAAATTTATATGGCGCCCAATCCCGAAGGACTCCAGGCAGCTTACATAAAAAACAATTTAAAAGAATACTAAAAGATTTAAAAAATAAAGAGACAAGGCAGTTAAAAAGACACAACATGCACTCAACCTTAGTGGGGCTGGACCTCATTCAAGAGGTCAACAGCCCCAGGCCTGCCGGAAAAGCCAGGTCTTAATAGACTTTCGGAAGGCCGCGAGAATGGGGAGGGTCCGGATCTCTGGGGGTAGATCGTTCCATAGGGCCAGGGCAGCTACAGAGAAGGCCCTCCCCAAGGAGCCGCCAAACGACATTGTCTAGTTGACGGCACCCGGAGAAGGCCCACTCTGTGAGATCTTATTGGACGCTGGGAGGTATGTGGCCGAAGACGGTCTCAAGAATTCCCCACCCATTCCCGGCGTCTACCAGCAGCAGGAGAACGGAGCTCCCCGTCCTCTACACTGACTTCTTGTCCGTGGGCTTTGAAAAAAGCCAAAACCTCCTTGGAGGGGAGGTGAAGTTAAGGAGGATCGTCCTGTGAGGTTCGAGGAGAGATCGCAACTTTCCTGCAGAGCCCCAGGGCTTTTTCCCCCTGTGCCACATCAAGAAAAGAGACAATCTAAGATAGCTGTCAGAAAGCTGGCGACAGCTTGACATCCAAGAAGAGTGCTGGAGTGGATTTGGTGAACAGTGTTTGGAACTGGGTGAGAAGAATCCTTTTTAATTCAAAGTGTAACCCCAAAAGAATTTTCAGGAAAGAGAGACTCAAAATTATTTTTAAATGGCAACGTCCTAGCTACTTTGAGTAAAACTTTAGAACTTTGAAGTGGAAGACAAAAGGATTAAAGGAAGAATTAAAAAAAACTGTTAAAATACAGAAGATTGAATTTTTATTGGACCTTTCTTTCTTTAATGATTCTATTTCAGCATTTCTTTGATATTAGTGTAATTCTTGTCCTGCAGTGAGTTGTCTGTAAGTTGACCAAGACAAATTGGCCAAGATGAGCTCCCTGTAGTGAGTTGCCCATGTCAAATTGTCATAGACATAGTTGCCCAGATTGAGGAACACTGAGCTAGGATCTTGAGTTCCATTAATCAGCCAACTACAAAATAACTGAAGGAAGCTTGGAGAATCAGTCCCTGCTTCCCTTGAACTAGACACTATAATATGACCAATTTACATTATAGTCGGCATAGATCAGGAATTCTAACATAAAACACCCAGTTGAACTCAAGGAAAAGGCCTTGTTGGCATCCCTATTACAGAAATTAAATACTGCTTTCAAAATATACACATTGAGCAAAATTCCAACTATGGCATTTTATCTTAAATTAAGAATATTTTTCTTGCTTTCGTTAAACAATAGGAAGTTAAAAAAACCTTTGCTCCTCTATTACAGTCATAAAGGTGTCCTCTGCAATCCTAATGCAACTTCTGACCAGTTTAGATCTATCTGTAAAATATGTGGTCTTAGCTGATGAAGATTAAGACGGTGGAAGGTGCGAGTAGAAACCATTCCTCATTACCAAACACTATTTTTTCTCAATTTCACTCGAATAAAAGAATTACTTTAAAAAATATGAGGCCTTGCTTTAAATCTTCAACTAGCTAAAGAGTTCTGGTGGCGCAATGGTTAGAATGCAGTACTGCTGGTTAATTCTGCTCACAGTCTGGAGTTCAATCCTGATAGGGCTCGAGATTGACTCAGCCTCCCATCTTTCTGAGGTTGGTAAAATGAGGACCCAGTTTGTTAGGGGAAATATGCTGACTCTGTAAACCGCTTAGAGCAGAGTGTCAAACTTACAGCCATGGGCCAGATGCATCATGTGCTGGCCCCACCCTCCCGAAAACTCCCGATATGTCACATGATGCCACCATGATGATGGGAGTTTGACACCCCTGGTTTAGAGGGTGCTGTAAAGCACTATGAAGAAGTATATAAAGTCTAAGTGCTAAATGCTATTGTTATTTCTAACGTATAGTAAGTCCCCAAAATAAGGATTTTTTTAACCTTACCACTGTGGAAGAGATTTCTGCGCCCCAAACTTGTTCTTCAAAGAGGTCCTTTCAATCAAAATGTTTGCCATTCTACTCTTTTAAAGCAGATTGTTTGCGGCTAGCTTTTTTATTTCATCTGTGCTTACCTTCTATGTTTTAAAGTGGAATTTGTAGTACAAATTAATTTAGCATTCTTTAAAAAACTTTCTATGGGCTGTTTCTATTTTATAATTACATAAAGCAATTTAGACATAAAAATAGAGTTTAAGATGAATGCTAACTGAAAGATTTAAACCAGCTTTCCCCCATCGGATGCTGTTCAGATGTTTCAGATTATAATTCATAGGCTGGCCAAGAACAAAGGGAGTTTGAACTCAACACATCTGAAAGATACCAAACTGAGGAAGTTACATTTACGCTTTGTTGATTAAAAAATATAGCTAGCATGAATCTGCAAAGCCTATTCTTTATTTGAATTTATAGCTCTAATCATAAGGTTTCAAAAGAAATGCAATGCAAATTGCAAAGTGGCCTTAAAATATCCCTACTAACTTTAGCTTTATATACTCATCTCTCACAAAGATGATCTATATCATATTGACCACATCTGCACAGCCAGATCTCTGCTAAGCAAGTTGTGACACATCTTTTCCTATTCATGCAGCCCTCTCACAGTTGATTCAAGTAAGCCAGGAAATCAATAATTAGATCTAATTTCCTGTTCAAGCCAAATTTTAAATCATGAATTAATACCCTAGCTTGCCCTAAAATAGATATATTATTTTGTTTTGTTTTGTGCCTTTGAGTAAGCGTTGACTTGTGGTGACTGCCTGGATAAGTATCTGCAGTTATCTTGGCAAGATTTTTCATAAGTATTTGCCATTGTTTTCTTTCGGGGGGGGAGTGGGGGGTAGAGAGAATAACTGGCTCAGGGTCACCCAGCTGGCTTTGTACCCTAAGTGGAACTAGGACTCATAGTCACCTGGTTTCTAGCCTGATGCCTTAACCACCACACCAAAATGGTTCTCTATAGCTAATTATAGTCTTCTTGTTTTAGTTTACTTGCACTGTAGTGGCAGGAGCAAAGGCTGTGTATGGCAAACATCTTGCATTTCTATTGCACTAAGTTGAGACATAAGCTTTTGAATAAATTCCCTACATTTTTTCCAGCATGCTATTTATTCCACTCCTGCTTTTTCCAACCTTGTCATTTCTTCCCCTAGGCAGTAGGGGGCACTCATTCATCCCCGACAGTCATGCCTCTCACTGTTCCCTTCTGGCGGATCTGCAATAGAATACAGAATTTCTGGTTGAATGGCTTTCTTGCAAGAATAATTTCCTAATGGGTTTGACCCACTTTGATTTCTCCTAGCCTTGTGCAATAAAAACAATTTTGTGTTTCCTAGTAGTAATCAAGTACAACTGAATTCAAATGTATTTCCATATTTTAATCATAGATGGCTGTTTATGAATGTACAATGAAACAGACAAATATGTAGAACAGTGTTTTTCAATCTTGGCAATTTGGACTTCAACTTCCAGAATTCTCCAGCCAGCATGGCTGGCTAGGGAATTCTGGGAGTTGAAGTCCTCACGTATCTTCAATTTGCCAAAGTTGAGAAACACTGCTACAAAAGCAAGACACTACCTCTCATTTTTAATTAATTGATATCAAAAGCACAAAATAGCAATATGGGAAATAACTGGGCCAATTTTTAAAAATCTATTTGAAAAGATTTTTGGTAGTGGGTTGAAATCTTTTCAACTCGAAATAGATGATTTAAGCCCTTAGTGACACAATATAGTATCACTAAAATCTGGTGATTTTGCTGCTGTTAGTATACTTGCTCTTATTCCAAAAGCTGAGAAGTAATGTTTTAATACGAATTCCAGCAACAATATCTTGGAGAAGTATAGCAGACACAAAAGGATGGGAAGACATTGCATATGAAACACATATAACCCTCCCATACTATAGATTATTAATGTAATATTTTTACATCTTCTTGCTACAAAGAAAAAGTCTTTTTTAAAAAAAACTTTATTATTTGCAGTCTTTTAAGAGTAAAACATGATTTTGAAGAAAAATAAGTGCTCTTTTCATTTTTTTACCTAGGATGCTTCATTTTATAAAATACCCTTATATTAATTTCATTCTATAGAAGAATAAAGGCTTTGTCTCTTGCTTTAACAGAGACTTTCCTTGGGGAAAGAGAGCTACTCTGCTACCCCACCTAATACATACACTACTCCCAGACTGGTAACCATCCTTAGTACCTCATCAAGCTCTTTCTGCGTCTCGTCCTCCATCCGTCGGATGTCAGCCATGCTTAAATCCACCCACTTATCCAACCAGCAAAACAGCTGCCTATGGAAGTTGGTAAAGAGGCGTCTTTCTTGCTGTCCAAGAGGAAAGAGAAGCTTTTAAGAAACTGAGATGCTGAGAATACAAGATGGCCCAAATTGGGAACCAAAATAAGTTTTCTAAGCTTTCAGATATCAAAGTCACAGCAATAAATCTAGGCTAGGTTCTTCAGACAGAAAAGCAAGAGACTGGCAGACATTTTGAACCACAGATAGTCCTCGACTTACGACCAACAATTGAGCCCAAATTTTTTTTACTAAGCAAAACAGTTGCTAAGTGAGTTTTGACTCTTTTTACAATCTTTCTTGCTATAGTTGTCAAGTGAATCACTTCAGTCGTTAAAATAGCAACACGATTAAGTGAATCTGGCTTCTCCATTGACTTTGCTTAAACACATACCATCTGCCAAGGGTCTGATGGTTTATCATGTGACCACAGGAACACTGCAACAGTTGTAGTGTGAAAAACGATTATGTCACTTTTTTCCTTGTCATAACTCCAAAATAGTCACTAAACATACGGTTTGTAAGTCGAGGACTACAGAACCACTGAACTATATCTTTCAGAGATCCTGGAGCACTGGGGAATTGCCAGAGGACTGGAAAAGAGCTGATGTGGCTTCTATCTTCAAAAAAATGAAAAAAAAATTGATCCAGGAAACCTCAGACCTATCAGCCTGACCTCAATACCAGGAAAAATTCTGGAAAAGATAATCCAGCGACGAATTAGCGAACACCTAGAAGTAAACAAAGTAATAGCCAAAAGCCAACATGGGTTTGTGAAAAACCATGCCAGACTAACCTTATTGCATTCTTTGACAAAGTGACAGAATTAGTGGACCAGAGGAATGCTGTTGATATAGTTTACTTAGATTTCATTAAGGCATTTGATAACCTACTACTAAATAAAGTAGAAAAATGTGGGTTAGACAGCATCACCACCAGATGGATTGGTAACTGGCTGACCAACTGCATTCAACATGTAGTCCTCAATGGAACTGCATCTACATGGAGGAAAGTATGCAGTGGAGTACCCCAAGGTTCTGTTTTAGGCCCAGTACTCCAACATCTTCATCAATGAGTTGGATGAGGGGATAAATGGGGAACTCATCAAATTTGCAGATGATACCAAACTGACAGGAATATCCAAGACTCCAGAAGATAGACTTAAGATACAGAAGGATCTTGACAAACTTGAACATTAACAAAATGAAATTCAATGGTGAAAAAAGTAAAGTTCTACATTTAGGCAAGAAAAATGAAATGCACAGGTACAGTATAGGTGGTACCTTGCTCAATAGTAGTAACTGTGAAAGAGATCTTTGAATCCTAGTGGACAACCATTTAAATATGAGCCAGCAGTTCTAGGCTGCATAAAAAGAGGGATAGAATCAAGATCATGTGAAGTGTTAATTCCACTTTATAATGCCTTGGTAAGGCCACACCTGGAATACTGTATTCAGTTTTGGTCACCACGATGTAAAAAAGATGTAGAGACCTCTAGAAAGAGTGCAGAGAAGAACAACAAAGATGATTAGAGAACTGGAGGCTAAAACACATAAAGAACAGTTGCAGGAACTGGGTATGTCTAGTCTTATGAAAAGAAGAACTAGGGGAGACATGATAGCAGTGTTCCGATTTCTCAGGGGTTGCCACAAAGAAGAGGGAAACAAGCTATTCTCCAAAGTACTTGAGGGTAGAACAAGAAGCAATGGATGGAAACTGATCAAGGAGAGAAGCAACTTAGAACTAAGGAAAAATTTCCTGAGAGTTAGAACTATTAATCAGTGGAACAGCTTGCCTCCAGAAGTTATGAATGTTCTAACACTGGAAGTCTTTAAGAAGATGTTGGATAACCATTTGTCTGAAGTGGTGTAGGGTTTCCTGCTTAAGCAAGGAGTTGGACTAGAAGACCTCCAAGGTCCCTTCCAACACTGTTATTCTATTCTATTCTATTCTATATTATTCTATTCTACTCTACTCTATTCTATTCTAGTTAATTCTATGCTTCTGAGAAAATGGCCCAATCTTTACCTCTCTATCTTATATTAAGTGATTTCAGCTGGATGTTATTGGTGGAAGAGGGGCTTTTCCCCTCAGAGTTTTGGGTTCCACTTCTGTTCAAACCAGCAAATTTTCTCAAACTGGAACAGGCAACTTGAACTCACCTTTTGGATAAACTTTTCCACCCTTCCCTGAAGGCCCCACCAGCGGAACTTCACAGTCACAAGTTTGTAGGCACACATGTGGGGACAATCTTCATTATTGGCTAGTTCCAGCTAACAGGAACAACAACAACACAAAAGTGGGGAGGGAGAGAATAAAATCAGAAGAGTTAGGGAAGACTGTGTTATTTCATCCAATCCAAGAGCTCAAAGTCACATTCCTCCAAATGGATGGGCCAGAACACAAGTGAAATTCAATTTCACAGATTTGGTTTGTAATTAAATACAGACACAGGTAATCCTTGCTTAGTGACCACATTCGGGGCCAGCCATGCCATTGCTAAGCAGATAATCACCTTATTGCAAAAGACTCTGAATGTTATTACCCAGTTGTTAAACAAACTACCAGTCATTGAGACATCATATGACCACAACCTGTGATTATATCTGTCAGACCTGGAAGCTATATTTTGCCTTTTGGATTTCAGGCCTGCCATACTTTCTACTGTGGGAGAATGGGAGGAGGGATTATATAGAGCTGGGTGATGGGTAGCCATAATAACATTCTTTCTCAGAAAGTCAAGATCACATTGTTTCTTCGCCTGGCTGGATGTGGATAGGAGGAATCTGTCTTCGTAGCAGTGAAAGATTGGACCATGTGATGGACTTGTGGGTGTTGGGACAAGATCTTGAACTTTCAACTGTGTGGGAAAACCTGGAAACTTTCAGATTTGGGCTCAACATGGCTCTTTTAACAAATTGGAATTTTGAGGAACCTCTTGCCCCGGATTCTTATTTTATTTTGGATGCTATTTGGAACCCTGACAATATTCTTCATTCACTCTGCTTGTTAGATACTTGCTGTGAAGCACATAAATGGCAATTGCGGGACTGCACAATATTATAATGGCTGTAAATGCATCTCAGCTGTGAAGCACGCAAATGGCAATCATGTGGGACACTGAGATAATTGTAATTGTGAGACTTGGTCACAAAGCCAATTTTTTAAAAACGTGATTATAACTAACAATTACTAAACGGGGCAGTCAGCAAGCGAGGGCTACCTGTACTACCATCTCATTGCAATCATGTGTGGGGTGCTCCTTCTGACACAGGAAAGCATGCAGAGCACATGGAATTTGAAAAATTAAAAAGGAAGGAGTCCTTAGATGGAGCATGCAGCAGCATCTGAACTCAATGGCCTTTCCCATTATAGTGAGATATGGGGAAAAATTTTCTGGACTTTTTTTTTCCTCTTTAGTTCTTGGCTGGACCCGGCCTCGTTTTAAACTCATGCTGGTTTCTCCTACATATCAAATTTGGCCCAGTTCTATTCAGAGAGTTTTCTGATGACAGGCAGGTAGACTTGAATTACAAGCCACTTCACATAATTCCCCATTTCCATCATTCCGATGAATTGGAAATAATTTATTTAAGAAAGCGTAATATCACTCAAGGCTTGAGGGGGACATAGGCCTTCCCACCTCTCATCCTGAAAATTTAAAATAATGTTTTCTTGGGTGAAACACCTGAGAGGAACTTGAGGGAGGCAGAAAGAGCAGATAATACTAGATCAAAATATCCCACATGAATTTTTCTTATCCAGTTTGCATTGCTCAACATATAATATACTTGGGAGAAAAAACCTTTATTACTTTTCCAGACAACCCTTCAAGCAAAGAAAAGCAAGATTACTTTTCTTTAAGGAATTCGTGTTAGGCTGAGAACGCAGTGGCTGGTCTGGGACCATCAATTGTATTTTAAGCACAAGGCAATCAATCTAGATCTTCATGCTATTAATCTGCCATCTCCATCCTGATGCTTTCCAGATGTAGGCTGGGGATGATGGGAGTTGAACAGCAACATTTTCAGAGAGTGTCAAATTGTGGAAGGCTAGTCTAGTACAGCAGGTGAGTTCTGTGGCATAACAACATCTCTAAAATGTATGGGGCAACTTAAGCAGCCCAGCAGGAGAGCACAGTGTGTGAGCAAGTCTTACAGAAAAAAGCAAGACTGAACTCCTATTTTGGATGAAAAACAACCTGATAATCACAAATACTTGGTTGGTCAAACTAAATTTGGGGTACTCTAATGAGGTTGCTTCCCATCAAGCCTCTCTTGGAATCTAGAATGCCTGAAAGCTGGGGGATGGGGAAGAATTGGGAGGGAGGCAGGCAATCCAAGATGTACTAAAAAGCCAGTTTCCTTCTTTTCGCGAGGTAGATATTACCTTCCAATCAGGACCAAGTGGGCCTCTGGCCGTCTTCAGAGATTTGAAAAGAGCTGGATCTTCATCTGGTTTGTAATCCTGAAAGAGAAAAGAGTTGAGAAAAGGTAGCAGTATGCAGGACAAAATCCTAACAAACAGTGATGTAAGGAAGAATCCAGATATCTATTTTTTTCCTCCATTCAGTAGATGAGAAAAAAATTAAAAAAATAGTTAGAACAATTCAGCATGTCTCCTGCTGTAGCAGCTGAGCAGAAACAACTAACTTAGCTATAGAGCTGTGATGGTGAACCTATAGCATGTGTGCCACAGGTGGCACGCGGAGGCCTCTCTGCCGACACATGGCTGTGACCCCAGCTGAGCTCCACCGCGCATGTGGTGTGCCTCCCACTGGCCAGCTGATTTTTAAGTCTCTTCAGCGCGTTAAAACACTATACAAGCCATTGAGAATATAACCAGTGACGTGCAGTCAGGGGAGGCAGGGCCTCACCACTGTCATGATGAAAAGAAAAACAAAATTAAAAGGAAAAAGGCAGAGGTAGTTGCTGCCAGAGTCACAGTGGATGATTCTGGTTAGTGCTTAACTGCAGGGGAAGGCGAGAGAACAATGGACCTCCTTTACCCTAGCTTTATGATTACTTGAACAGAATTAAGCAAGGGTTAAAAGGTGAAAAATTCCTTATGCAAAGGAGGCACGTGGTTCTCTCACCTGCTCCTGCAGAGAGCACTTTGTTTAGAGGCTTTTTTTAAACAGTTAAGCAGAGTCATCCACGTGGTGACTCTAGCAGCAACTATCCTAGCCTGGCTAGAGCAGCTCTTGCCTTTTTCTTTTTACATTTTCATCATGGGGAACAAGAAGAGAGTTGAAATCCTCTGACACAGCTGAAAAAGGTATGTGGGTCGGAGGGAGGGGGTGGGGGGTAGGAATTCAAAATTATTTGTAAGTAATTGTAATTAGTTTAATTATAAGTAATTTGTGTGTGTGTGTTTTACCCGCCTCTGCTGGTGCACGGGCTGGCACTTTATTTTTTAAAGCCATGCCGCCGCGCCGCGCCATAGAGTGGGACATGCCAGCTTCTGGCCATACAGCGGGTCCCGTTGTATGGCCACGGCGGCGGCATGCACTTTAAGTGCCAGCGCACCTCCTGGCCGTAAAGAAGGATATGTTTCGCTCTATGTCGGGGCAAGGCGGCATGCACTTTAAAGTGCTGGTGTGCCTTCCGGCCATTCAGCAGGTCCCATTGTATGGCAGGGGCGGCGGCATGCACTTTAAAGGGCCAGCACGCCTCCCGGCGATAAAGCAGGACATGTTTCGCTCTATGGCGGGGCGAGGCGGCATGCACTCTACAGTGCCGGCATGCCTTCTGGCCATTTAGCAGGTCCCGCTATATGGCCGGGGCAGCGGCATGCACTTTAAAGTGCCAGCGCACCTCCCGGCCATAAAGCAGGACATGTTTCGCTCTATGGCAGGGCGAGGCGGCATGCACTGAATGGCCGGAAGGCATGGCGGTACTTTAAAGTGTATGCCGCTGTGCCCCGCCATAGAGCGAAATATGTCCTGCTTTATGGCCAGGAGGCGCGCTGGCACTTTAAAGTGCATGCCACTACCCTGGGCCCGACCATACAGCGGGCTGTATGGTTGGGCCCGGGGCAGCGGCATGCACTTTAAAGTGCCGGCGTGCCTTCTGGCCATAAAGCAGATCCTGCTATATGGCCGGGGCGGCGGCATGCACTTTAAAGTGCCGCACGCTGGGTGAGTCCCGGAAGACGGGCGGGAGATGGCGCAGGCGTCCGGAGCCCCTTCTGTCACCGTCCTTGTGGAGCCACCACTGCTGCCTCACTCCTCCTCGTCTTCACTGCACGTCACTGAATATAACTATCTACATCCAACAGGAACAAGAAGTGCCTCACAGGAGCAAATAGAGGTAAATCCTAGAGAGGTAGAAAATGCATCACTGAACCATGGAGATGAATGCTAGAGAGGAATAAAGCTGCATACAAGGCAGACATAACACCTGTATCAGCGTACGCATGCATGGGAGGTGGGGAAGCATGGGGAGGGGGCATTTCCCCATGCCCTCCTCATGCCCCTTTTTCTGGTCCCAGGAGGCTTCAGGGACGCCTGCTAGGCCCAAAATGGGGCGCTGGTGGAGATGGGCATGTGCGCATGCATAGGGGTGATTGGAGCACGTGTGTGTGTGTGTGTGTGTGAGATGTGTGCAATATACGCATGCACTCATATAATGGATATCGGCATGTGGGCATGCACAGTCGTGCACACTTTTGGCATGCAAGGATAAAAAGGTTAGCCATCACTGTTATAGAGGAAGGTTGAAAAAAAGGCAATGTTTAACATCCAAAAGCCAGTGAAAAGCAAAAGGGACTGAGGACGACAGCAGAACTTTAGCAAGCAGTTAGTAGAATGGGTAGAAGTCATCATCACTGCTGCCACCAGAAATGAAGCCCACAGGCTGTGTAGCCCACAGGTGTTTCCCAGTCTTCTTTTCATGACCCAAAATTTCCCAGCTTTCATTTCAGGTCACCCATCATGCCAACTGCCAAAGGGCATCCCAAACAGTATCTTCTTACGTCATCTGATACTTGTGTCCGATCGCCAATGTCTATGTGAACAACTTCCACATCTTTCCAAGTATCTGCATCCAGGCCATGGACCTGCAAAGGAGAAATTTTTAACAGTATCAAAGACAAATGATTCTGGAGAATGTCTACTTATGTTTTATACATACTGTACTGATGATATTTTAGACAGCGGCTGAGTTCACACTTCATAATGAGCCAAGCCAATTTTTACAAATTAGCTTTTGAATAGGTGGGCTAGAATTGCATTCCAAAAAGAAGTGGGTGGGACTGCAAGCTAATTCTGCTGACTGCCAGCAGTTCGATCCTGACCGGCTCAAGGTTGACTCAGACTTCCATCCTTCCGAGATGGGTAAAATGAGGATCCAAATTGTTCGGGGCAATATGCTGACTCTGTAAACCACTTACAGAGGGCTGTAAAGCACTATGAAGCAGTATATAAGTCTAAGTGCTATTGCTATTGAATGTTAATTATAATTAAAATTATATGATTGCTCTGTGTTCATTAATTGAAAAGTTTAAGAAATCATCATTAAATATTTTAAATGAAAAATGTAATAAATTCCCATTTCCATAATTTACAGTTTAATAAGGTCTAGATATGGATCACCCTGTGGCCACTTATGAAGCACCAACAAATTATTTTGATGGGCTTTGCTTATGTTAATGTATATATATAGATCAGACAATCATGGTTTCAGAACACTCAACCAATTTGAAACTATGTTTTTGTTGGCTCACTGATTATAAATATAATATATAGTATATAATATGACCTTTGTACAGGGCAAGTATTCATGATTTTTTAAAATTCAATCATAGTTTGCTATAAGGCCTTTTCCATGCATCTAACCAATATATAGCTATGTAAGTCAAGAGTTGTTGTTTTTTAAAGAAAAAAAGCTTGGCATTACCTAGGAAATTTTAAATGAACCATGAAATGTTTGCTTGTCTAAAAGACAGGTGTATATCTCTAGTTTCTTTAACAAAAGAAATATGACTAGCATGTGGAAATGCAGCCAGTATCTAAAATTGCTGCCAGCTTTCTTTTAATCTGTTAGAGACTCTTCTCTAACTGTCTTCCTTTAAAGAACAGGTGGGTGACATATGGGAATGCTATCTTGGAGACTTCAATCAACTTTTGGAATATTTTGTCCAAGACTGTTTCTAATTTTTTTTCTATAACATATTGTCATTAAGCCTTTTGCATTTCCTTGGACTTTTAAATAATTGATACTTTGAATGCTAACCTATGTAGGTTTTGTTTTATTCCTTTTTGTACATTGCCCTATAAAATCTTGTTTCATTTGGCTACTTTGTACATCATCATTAAACATAACTCTTTTGATTTAGAGCTCCTGCACCAAGCAAGCTCTTGCTCCAGCTTTGCTTTAAAAAAAACAAAAACCTTTACTCTAAGTGCTTTATTCCCTATTAAATTGTCACACATTGCATGAAAATCTCACTGTTGACCCCCTACCTAGGCAACACAACCCAATTCTGGAGAGGTAGATTTATTTCTAGAAAACCATAGTCACTCCCTAAAGAATCAAATGAGCCTTTTCCAGAACTCCCAAAAAGAACACTGGCATGTTCTATGCCTCAAACGTTGAGTTTAACACATCCCTCTGACAATAACCCACAGTTTGACGGTAATTAAAGTGGACTTGTTAAATGAAGTGGACTTGTTAAATACAAACCTTAATGGCTGGATTTGAAAAATATGGCAAGCCCCAAGGAACTAAAGCAGAGCTTAATTTCCTGTGTCACAATAAGCACATAATCTTAACAATTGAAAATCTCTCTTCTACATAATTAGCCAGACGGGAAAAGAACTGTTGATAGGGATACGTTATCTGAACTGCAATGATTCAACTGTTCCAAAGGTTTTCTGGAAGATAACAGTACAACCCAGAACTAGTAAATGATGTATTCTGAATGTTCCCTAATCACTGCTAACCACGATTATATTTCTGGGCAATAAAACTTGAGTCCAACAATACAAGATCTAATGGCCTATACAAGTAGTCCTTGACATACAACCACAAATGAGCCCACAAATTTCTATTGCTAAGCAAGTCAGAGTGAGCTTTTGCTCCATTTTACGACCTTGTTTGCCCAAGTTGTGGAGTGAATCACTGCAATTGTTAAAGTGAGCAACATGGCCGTTTAGTGAATCTGGCCTCCCCATTGACGTTGTTTGTCAAAAAGTTGCAAAAGGTGATCACACATAACACATTACAACCATCATAAAAGCTTGCCAGTTGCCAAACGTCCAAAGTTTGATCATATAACCATGAGGCTACTGCAATAGTTGTAAGTGTGAAAAATGGTCATAAGTCAACTTTTTTCGGCGCCTCTATAACTTTGAACAGTCACTAAACAAATGGTTTTAAGTCGAGGACTGCTTGTAAAGAACAGAATTCGGTGGGATTTAGGCACCCCAATTCTTTGGACAAACAACCTATTATATTTGCAGGCTTACATTTTCTTGTTCCCCTAAATCCGGTTTATGCCATGTTTCAATTTTGACAAAGAAATCGTCCTTCATGTATTCGTTCTATGGAAGAGGAGAAGGAAACAAGGTTACAAGAATTCTTGGTGCTGACAATAGAACCTGCAAACGCTAAGGCCATACAGCACTTGTCAGGGATATGTTACCTTGAAATCCTCTGAGTCGATTTGTACAACTATGAATTGACTGTAACAATTCAATTCATAGAACCGATAAAACCCATAGGAAGGAATTAAGAGCAGGAATCCCCTGCCCCCAGTCTGTGGGCTAGATCTGGCCAATGGCCCCAAAGAGACCGGGCTACGCAAGGGGCAACAAGCACATGAAACTCCATTTGCGCAAACAGCGAGAGAGCATGTGAAACTGTCCCCTCTGCCCTCCCACTCCTGCCAGCAGTTCGCCCAGCCCAAAAAGTTGGGGATGGCTATATTAGAGGAAACAAATGTACACTAAGTCTAGGGATGTTTGTGGACGGGGAGGAATAACCAGGGAAAATCCCCACTCCTAGAGCTATTCATTTCAGAAGTCACTTACCGTAATAACTGCAGTAGATGAGGCCAAAATAAGGGGAAAGACAAAAAGAATATTAGTGTAGCAAAGCAAAACAGAAAATCTTGCTAAATTACATCTTATTATTCTGCCCCAACAATAAAAGTACAGTAATAATGATACATGACTTAATGCTAGAATCAAGCACCCAGCAAGCAGGATGCTACAGGTATCAGAGCTGAGAAGTTCGAAATGGAGAATGCTTTTGTGTCCAAGCATTGCATTTAACATTTTTGGGAGGGCGCAGGGCCCAGTGGCCTGAAGGATAATGCCAAGAGAACAGGCTATGTGATTCAGATCCTAGATTTTTTATTTTTCTCCTGGGTTACAGAATAGAGTTTGGACACTTTCCTTTTTTAAAAACGATGCTAAAACTTTTATTATGGATCTCATTCATATTGCTGATTTTTTTTTTAGCCGAGTGCATCTGAAAAAGGACTCAGGTTGCCAATCCAAGCTATTGAGAATTAGCAGGCACGTATTCATATGATGCTAACAATGTAGAAAGTGAATCGGAGAATACAACAGGAATGAACTCATGCCCTTCTAAATGCTCCATTGCCCTATGGCCAATTTTGTAGATCTTTGGTATTTTCAGATTCCATGCAGCAACAACAATAATAATAAAAATAAGTAAAGATCTGTTGACAAATAATGCCAAGCTCCATCCACTAAGCAAGCAAGGTTATACTGAATGGCTGCTCACTCGGTCCTCTGCCGAGACACTACCTATTTGCCATTGGGAATGTACAGGTAGTCCTTGACTTACAACAGTTCATTTAGTGACCATTCAAGGTTACAATGGTACTGAAAAAAGTGATTTATAATCATTTTTCACACTTATGACTGTTGAAGATCCCCATGATCATGTGGTTTATATTCAAATGCTTGACAACTGACTCACATTTATGACGGTTGGAATATCCTGGGATCATGTGATCACCTTTTGCAATCTTCTGACAAGCAAAGTCAATGGGGGAAACCAGATTCACTTACTAACTGTGCTACTACCATGTTTCCCTTCATCTTTTGACCCCCTGAAATAAGCGCTTGGCCTTATTTTCAGGGAGGTCTTATTATTTTTGAGGTCCAGGAGGCAGTGATCATGGTCACCTCATAGCTGCGGTTCACCGACAAAAGGGCGAATGACAAAACCGCGCCTGACTAAACCGCGGTGACAAAACCGTGAGTTCTAAAGCACTCTGACGGATGAGCACTGACAACAGGGCGGTGACAGAAGCGCGCTGTAAAACTAAACCTAACCCTAAACCTAACGCTAACCTTAACCCTAAATATAATGCTAACCCTAAACCTAACCCTAAACGTAACGCTAACCCTAAACCTAACGCTAAACCTAAACCTAAACCTAAAACTAACCCTAAACCTAACCCTAAACCTAACCCTTACCTTAACTTAAATCGGCTTTCCGCTGACGCGCTGTTGTAAAGCACCCTTCTCTCTCCGCGCTGTTGTCGCTACGCTGTTGTCGGCACGTTGATGACATTGTGGTTTTAGCGACGTGGTTTTGTCGGCCGCTTTTGTCGTGAACGCTTTTGTCGGGTCACGCATAGCTGCTGCTGTGTTGTGCGTCACTGGGCCTGCTGCTCTTTGCGGCGCCATTAGCGTGACAGAAGGTGCGCAGTGGCTAGGGTTGCGGGAGCGGCTGTTAGGTAAGGGTTTGTGGGGTGCATGGAGCATGTTCCCTCTCCCTTCCTCCCCTCCTGCCTTGCCTCCTCACTTTGTGTTGTTTGTGTGGCAAGCAATCAAAGGAAATGTTGGGGACTGGCTGCCCATGCGGTTAAATATTTTCGGGGAGGGCTTATTTTGGGGGGAGGGCTTATTTGAGCGCATGCACTCAAATCCTAATTGAGCTTATTATCCAGGGAAGGCTTATTTTTGGAGAAACAGGGTAATTTAACCGTGTTACTAATTTAACAACTTGCCACATTTGCCACATAACAAATGTGGCAAAAAAAGTTCATAAAATGAGGCAAAAGCAATTTAACAAATTCCTCACTTAATAATATAAATTTTGGGCTCAGTTGTGGTTGTAAGTTGAGGACTATCTGTATACCCAAAATAAAATTGTCTTATTCAATGAAATATGGAAGTCTGGATGTTTATTTGAATTACAATGCTTGGAACTCTCCATGCTGGTCAATAATTATTTCTGCCAATATTAAAGATGTCTCTTTTCCCCTCCTGCAGGCTTACCTGTCCGACAATAAGGATAGGCATTCCAGGCTCTTTCGTGGACAACAAGGGACCCTTCTGGGGCAAACATCTTGATGAATCCTGGAACTTTGCTGTGAGAGAAAGAAGCAAGAGAAGGCTTCAGATCCAGCATCGTCATCACCTGTCCACACCCAGGATGGTTCTTACCTCTGAAGATGGTAGATCTTATGGGTGTACTGCCCCTGCTCTCCCTCGTGTTGGTAGGGTTCATTTTTCAACACCTCAATTCCTTCACCACCACCGGTGTTGTTCTTACTAGCCTCAGCCACAGAAAATAATTGTCCCACTTGATACTGAAGATGACAAAAAGACACATGTGTGTGTGTGTGTTAAAATTCTGTTTCCCCCTGAGGATAGGAAAGAATATTAATATCTATTCATGAGTGGAAGGCAAAGCAAGCCAGAATATAGCTAATTCTGGACTGTTTTATAAGAGCCCAATGGTACCCACAAGCTTTATCAGTGGGGCTAAGAAGGTTGTGGAATTACCTAGGGGCAAGTTTATAACTCACCTCTTCTACAGAGCAAGGTAGTACCACCCGACTGGATTTTTTTTGTTGTTGTTGCAGGGAAGGAAAAGAAAGAGAAGAAAAATAGTTAGATTTCCCCAATTTTCAGTCTCTCCCAACACTACTTTTTACATAAAAAGAGTACACAAATATACTCATGCAAATACAATATTTAGGTAGAATAGAACCAGGAGTTTGATCCTGACTCAAAGTTCATCCTTCTGAAGTCAGTAAAATGAAGGCTCAGATATTAGAGGTAACATGCTGACTCTGTAAACTTCTTAGAATGCGTTATAAAGCACTATGAAGCGGGATATAAATCTAAGCCCCATTGCTATATTTTGCCAACAGGTCAACTGTGATCACCACGAAAATACACTGAATGATCGAGATATGAAGGATTCTCCACAAGTCTGCTTACCAGACCAGATGGAACATATTCAGATTAGATTTTTAGTCTTAGTTTGTTTTTAGTAGATCTCACAAGGAAAAAAAACTTCAAAAGGACTTTATCCTTTGGATTGGCCTGCAATAATCACTAGAATATTTATTCTCATCTTTCCTACCTAAAGAGATCTGAGAGAAGGACCTTTCAAATCATTTTGCTTCAGCCACAGAATTTTACAGTACATACAAAATCTTTCCACCTTTTCTTATCATTAACTCCCTTTTAAACCCCTTCCCTTTTTCTGCATTAAAATGTCATGAGGAAATTATTAAATTGCTACATAGGTATAGTAACATACAATTTTGATTGCTAGCACTAGAAGCTATCCATCTGAAAACATTTTAAAGGATGTGAGTTCAATGGATAAAATCCATAACTATATTAAGTTACAAAGCAATTTATATTGGATCCTGCAACTTAATTAATGGACATTATTATTGCACATTGTTTCCCATTAAAAAAAATCTCAAAGCAGTTATAAACATATATGTAGAGCACAATTGCTTTATATTATACTCTGAACAGGAGGCTTATTTTCAAAATCATAAACTAAGCTGGTCGGCAGTCACTTCTCTATGCTGATTAGATTTGCAAGGCCAGCTAATTGCAATGTGACCTTAAGGAAGAGAACAAAAAAAAAGGTTACAAATATCAAATAACAATAAAATCACACAATAATAAATTATCCCCATTTTATTTCCATATGAGCTAAGGAAACTTGTTGCCCAAGTTTTTTTTTAATAGTAGCAAATAATACACTTGTTTAGGGTTTTGATAGGACAAATGACTAGTTATTTGTGTACCAGAAATTGTGCCTCCTTTTGCAAAGGTAACACAAACGTATCGGTGCCTAAGAAGCATAACAGATCATTGAAAATTTTGCAATTTCAGGCATGTATATTTAAATATTTATTACATGTGTTAAGGCCTCCGGACTCAAAAAGAGTCTGGGCTGATAACAAAATATCAAATATAGACAAAAAAGGAAGTTAAAAACTATGCAGACAATACCGTATTTCCACGAAAATAAGCACTTGGCCTTATTTTTGGGGAGGTCTTATTATTTTTGAGGTGCAGGAGGTGGCGAGCGTGGTCACCTTATGGGTGGTTGCTGTGTTGCAATATTTTCAGGGAGGGCTTATTTTCAGGGGAGGATTTGTTTAGCACATGCACTCAAAAGCCCGATTGGGCTTATTAGCCGGGGGGGGGGGGTTCTTATTTTCAAGGAAACAGGGTAATAACATCAGAAATACAACACAAGTCCACAAGCAAGCTAAGCCCCAAATTTAGCAATCCACATTTTTAACTAGGCAGGAACAAAGCTATTACCAAAAAAGCTTTTAGCTTTTATGAGCCCACAGAATAAAGGAAAAATCTCTGAGTCCAATTTGAATCCTAATTATTTCCATATGGATTTCTTGGATATGATAAAAAGGTGGGCACTTGTGCGCTATTCTGGGATTTCTTTTTTAATTGTCTAATCTATCACAAAATATTGGTATTTCTTCTTGGCTCTCCCATGCACTAGCCTGAGTCAACTTAAAAAGACTTTTGAGCAGGAAAGCAATAGAAATAAATGTATTCCTGTAGTTAACTGTATTCAGAACATCTTGTTTTTTCCACAGAGAAGATCATGACATCAGTCCCTACAATCAACATAAGATTATGAAGTGAAGGTTGAAGGTTATGTTATCTAAACCAAGGTTTTTTACATTTTTGCCCCTCAGGATCCTTTCCACTCTTAAAAATGATAGGGGACATCGAAAGAGGTTCTGTTTGTATGGATTACATTTATCAATATTTATTATATTAAAAATTAAAATTGACGTATTTGCTGCCACTATTGCTTCTCATAATTGTATGATGGGATTTTAATTTGTATTTTTTTAACATAGGGTGGCAACAAATTTGATTTTACAGAGCCCTGAGAGTATCTAGAGGGTCCCTCCAGGGGCTCCTGAACCACATCATGAGAAATCCTGATCTAAAAAGCTAAATGTTCCCCTCACACATATGTGCTAGTCGTTCCCAACTCTAAGGGGTGGTGATCATCTCTGTTTCAAGGCCAAAGAGCCAGCGCTGTCCAAAGACGTCTCCATGGTCAAATTGCTTTAAAACTGCCAGGTTGGCAGAGTAATGGGATCTCACTCCGTTACGGCACTAGGGATTTGAACGCCGAACTGCTGACCTTTCTGCTTGACAAGCTCAGCGTCTTAGCCACTGAACCACCCCATCCCTATGATCTAGATTCTGATCTAGAGGCATGCGTACATACTTATCCAGAATAGAACACAACATTTCAGCCCAGATCCCACACTCTTTGCTTAATCATAGTCTACTGACTAATGTACAATTTGCTGAATTCATACAAAATGCTAAATCAAATCATGGTTTACAATCAATGGCTGAGTTCACACAATACTAAATCAAAGCCAATACATCTAAATTAATAAACTGTGTGTAAATCACACTTCACTGTACATGTCTATTAAGGGAAATGTGTGATATTATCCACTCTGGCTGGGAACGGGGAAGAATATTAATTATAAAAACAGAGGTCAGAAATTATGGCTCAAATCTCACTAAATTAGACTCCAAGTTTTATTAAAACCCTAACCAAAATAGCCAGTAACTGATTTGATGGGATATAAAATTTAACACCATCTGGAAGTAATAAGTTGCTAATTTATATTGTAAAATACAACTGAATACATATTATTCAAAACCAAAACCATTGGGTGAAATGGGACAAATGCCAGGACTGCAATATTCCTTATATAAAATCCTCTAAGATTCTATTGCTTGATTAAGATGAAACAGAAAAGTAGAGTTTCATTCTTGCTATCTCAAACACCTTTTCTCTTACGATTTCCTGCTCTTATCTGTCCTGACATGTTAACAAAGAAAAATCTGTTGCAAAATTCCCCCTATACTATCTAACCATAATTTGTGGTGATACTTTGCATTGCAAATGTCTGGGTTTATTCTAATTAAGTTCCGTTAAATCTATTCCTAAAATACAACAGTTTCTAGATTGAAAAAAGGCAGTCAAGAAACTATTGTGATACTCCCTAGCAACCTCTCCTATGTTTCTTACTGAAGATTAGTAAAATAAATATTGATGTTAGGAAGGTGGTAATTAAAAAGAAACTATCTTCTCTGGAAGGAAAGAGTGAGTCAGTTCTAAGTTGCAAACAACTGGCTGTGTGGCAGTGGATTTATTCTTAGTCTCCTCAACTGGATGCCATCTGCGAGCAGGAGAGAAGCTGTAAGAACTGTGGTGCTTTCAGAAGTGGTGAGACACAAGAGGCATGTTGGCTGGGAATAAAGAAGTTTTAATCCAACTCTCCAGTTGAGGCTGTTCAGGAAACAGGGAAAAAGTGCTACTTTGAACTCAAAGTAGTCAAAGAGTCAATTGCATCCAAATGTCAGATCTAAACTAAAGTTGGTAATATTTTCACAGCATCCAAAATACAACATAAAATAGTTCTGGACTATACAACCGTTAAGTGCTATATAAAACAGTCAAATAAAGAGGGGGGAGGGGTAATCGTGTACAGCGGCTTCTGAGACCCGCAGTTAACTACCCTCTTTTTATGAGCCACTCCCCACCTTCCCATTAAGCCTTCCCTCCCATGCGCACCTCTCACCCACCCCTGCCCCTCTTGTACTTACAACTCTTTAATGAGCACCATCCCTCACACCCTTCCAGCGCCTCGCACGCCCAAAGCACCCTGTCTTCTCTTCCTAGTTCTCCCCTCCCCGGCCATTAACGCCATTTCCGCCCTTACTCCAGCAGTCACTTGCCCAGACCAGTCCCTTAAGACGCCATTTCCGCCCTCAATCAGGCTTCCTTTTTTCCGGCAGAAGCCGACGAAGCAATGAATGGGTTGCCGCTTTAGGAAGAGGCAAAGCGGAGGCGGGTCTTCCTTTCGGACATACAATTGCCTGTTGATTGACAGGGTGGCCAATTCTGGAAAACGAATACAATACCCTTCCTCGCGAGGAGAGCTGCGCGGTTGAGTATTGTTAGGGCATGTGAAGATTTCACCCTAAAATAGAAAAACAGCAAACTCCGCTGCTTTTATGTCTAGGAAGATATCGCTTTTAGACAACACTGAGCCACGTAGTACAATGTAAAAGATGTTGAGGCTCTAGAACAGAGGTCTTCAAACTTGGCAACTTTAAGACTTGTGGACTTCAACTCCCGGAATTCTCCAGCTCTGCTGAATTCTGGGAGTTGAAGTCCACAAGTCTTAAAGTTGCTAGGTTTGAGGACCCCTGCTCTAGGAAGATTGCAGAGAAGAGCAGCAAAGATGATTAGAGGACTGCAGGCTAAAACATATAAAGAACAGTTGCAGGAATTGGGTATGTCTAGTTTAATGAAAAGAAGGATAAGGGGAGACATGATAGCAGTGTTCCAATATCTCGGGGGCTGCCACAAAGAAGAGGGAGTCAAGCTATTCTCCAAAGCACCTGAAAGCAGGATTAGAAGGAATGCATGGAAACTAATCTAGGAGAGAAGCAACCTAGAAGTAAGGAGAAATTTCCTGAGAATTAGAACAATTAATCAGTGGAACAACTTGCCTCCTGAATTTGTGGATGCTTCAACACTGGACGTTTTAAGGAGATTGGACAACCGTTTGTCTGGAATGGTGTAGTTTCCTGCCTGAGTGTAGGATTGGAGACCCCAAGATCCCTTTCATCTCTGTTCTGTTCTGTTGTCTTTGTTTTGAATCAGATCATGGTAGCCTCAGGATGCATTGAATGTTCCTGTTCATAATCCCCTGATGGTTTGGTCCTCCTCCCTTTTGAGTCACATAACAAGGCAGTGGTAATGCAAGAATGTCTCACTGAATACCTGTTTGATCACTTTTGATTGTGCTTTGTTTCCTTGGCTTAGTTCTTTGTGTGACCCCCATCTTCAGGTGAATAAATTCTTCAGCGTATTATATAAACCCCCAAAATGGCTTGATTGAGTACAGTCAATAACAGTTGATATTTGAACCTTTTCTGGTTATAGTCCCCTCAGTCCAGAACGGTAACTCTGACTCTCCTCCAAGGCAGTCAATGCTGGGAGTGACACCCTAGCTAGAAATGGCTCTTACTTTGCTGGCCTCTGCTCTAAAAAGCCCTTGGTGCTTTTGGTGACATTCTCAAGGAGACAAGAGGCTTGGACATTCAAGCTTTGAATTCCATACTTAAGCCTGGGGGAGCCTGTATCTTTCCAGGTCTTGGACTACATTTCCCATCCATGGGGTTTATGTTGAAGTTCGAAGAACAGATGAGGTGGCTGAGGGAGTGAACAGCTATTTATTGTAAAACACCAACAGATAACTATGTACCGATAGGATTCAGCACCTCGCCCTACTTGATAGCTATTTATACAGGAGCTGTCAAGCAGGGCGACCCATGGGAGCGCCTCTGGCAGCCTGCGCTCAGCCAGCTGCATCTTAGCCAATCAGGCGCGGCTAGGCTGTTGCTGGCTGTCAGTCGTAAATTGAGGACTTGCGGCCAGTTGTAAGTCGAGGACTTTAGGACCGGTTGCAAGTTGAGGACTTAGCACTCCTTCCTGCCTAGCAAGGGCGCATGCGTGAAGGTTGCGCATGCGCAATTGTTTAAGTAGGCGGGCCGGCAGCGGACCCGCCCAGAACGCCTCAGTTCCAGCATTGTCGTCGACGGGATAAGAGGTCCCTGTAGAAGCTCCTCCCCGAAGGGAGTGTAGCTCTGGGTGATGTCATCTGGGCCTACCCCCAAAGGCGGATCCAGCAGCAAAGGTAGGGCGGGGCAAGGGGGCCCGACGGAGGTGAATTAGATCGTGGCTGCCGGTAGGCGGTGGCTGGATAGGTGAGGCCTGATTGGGTGAAGGTCTCATGTTAGGGAAACCCAGGAGGAGCATTGACGGATGGAGCTGGAACTTGGAATGGCTGCTGGAAGGAAGTAGCAGGGTAGGGGAGGCCTTACTGGGTGAAGGCCTCAAACAGAGCCACATTTGAAGGAAGAATTGCGGGCCACAGCGGTACTGGGGCTGGCTGCTCGGTGATGGCGGCTGGGCTCGATGGGCCGGACTGAGTGCAGCCTCAATTTGTCCAGTTCAGCATCAACCTTCGGCCTCAAGGCAAAGGGCACCCTGAGAGCCTTCAGCAACCTGGGGGTCTAAATTCAGGGGGATAGGGGTCCCCTTGTATTTCCCCAGCTTACCATTGAAGATGTCAGTGAATTCCGCAATGACGTCTTCAATTCTAGGGGAGACTGCCAGGGTCTGATGCACCCCCACAAGTGATAGGCCCAGTGAGGAGAACCAATCAAGCCCCAATAGGACTGGTAGCAGCTTCTCCACGACTAGAATGGGAAGGCTGCCGTGGAAACCCCAATAATCTACCCACAAGCATGACAGCCCAGGGTGGGAATTTGAGTCCCCTGGTAGTCTTTAAGGGTAGTGTCAGGTGGTGACAGCTGGTCTTGGACATTCGAACACAGCTGTGAGAAGGTGGCACAAGACAGGAGGGAGCGGGAGGAACCGTGATGCAGGGCAATCCCTCCAACAGCAGGGACACAGTAATTTTCTTAGAGTGGGCCATCGCCTTGCTGACCGACTCTGCAGGGGTATTTGGAAGGGCCCGGTTGACAGCGAAACAGTCATCTTTCTGCTGCTGCTGGTGATGGGGCTGTTGTAGGCATGGCTGCGCCGGCTGGCCATAGAACTGCGGCTGGGCGTCCAGTTGCGGGGGAAGCGGCAACATGTCCCGGCAGACCTGAGCCAGGTGTTCCTTCTTGTTGCAACTGTGACAAATGGCTGCCTTGAAAGGGCATGCGGAGTGAGTGTGGTTGCCCCTGCAACCCAAGCAAGCAGTGATGGCTGAGTGTCTAGGCTGCTGCGGCAGTAGGCGTCTGGGCACTGCTCTCAAATGGTCCACCTGGTCCTCTTCGAGCTCGTTGAGGGGCACGAGCTCATCAATGAGACAGGTTCTGTGGGGCGGTGGAGGCGGCAGTTGGATGTGATGCATCTCAGCCATGGACTGCTCTGATAGTTCGGCGGCTCTTGCAATGTTATCTCTGCCCTTGCCAACAGTCTCTGCTTCAAACGGAAGTCTTGCACCCGGCACACAAAGTACTTCATAAGCGAGTCGTCGAGGTTGACGAACTCGCACTGGATCGCTGCTGTCCGGAGAGACTGTAAGAACTGGCTCACAGTCTCGGACTCTTTTTGGACACACTGACGAAATGCGTAGCGGCGGGGGATCGTCGATGGTGTGGGAGCGTAATGGTTTCTAAGCTTCGATATGAGGGTGTCTCAGCTGAGCTCATATATGGCCTGAGGTGAAGTGAGAGCCCTGGCCAAATTGAACATTTCCAGACCGCAGGAGCTCAAAAAGAAACTGCACTTACGGTCCGCAGGCAGGTTGTGGTTGTTGTTAGCGATTATAAAAACATTCAAAATGCTCCAGGAACCCGGCCCAAGACTCACCGGCGGTACCAGACTGAGCGAAGGGTGAAAACGAAGCTATGACTGAGCGTGAGGTAAATCGCCGTTTTCTTCAGAGACAGAAAAAAACCCCTTGTTTTTATATTTTCTAGAGCTGTTCAGGCGGCACCGTCAGCATCCCATCCTCGTCACCAGTGTTGAAGTTCGAAGAACAGATGAGACGTGAGGCGGCTGAGGTGAGTGAACAGCTATTTATTGTAAAACACCAACAGATAACTATGTTCAGATAGGATTCAGCACCTCGCCCTGCTATTTATACGGGAGCTGTCAAACTGGGCGACCAATGGGAGCGCCTCTGGCAGCCCGCACTCAGCCAGCCGCATCTTAGCCAATCAGGCATGGCTAGACTGTTGCCGGCTGTCAGTCTTAATTGAGGACTTGCGGCCAGTCGTAAGTTGAGGACTTTAGGACCAGTCGCAAGTCGAGGACTTAGCAGTGTGGAATCTAATATTGGTTCCCTCCTTATTTTTTAGATCAGGAGTTTCAAAGTTTTCCAAGCTATTCCAAGATTCCAACACCTAGGAGACCAGATGGCTGCGCACATGTATGCTATGGCTGGACACTCCTTTTTTCAGTGTGTAGTGTGGTCAAGGGGCATCTATAGTCGGCAAGCTTTTATTTAGCCTTTGGAAAAGCTGGCCACAACATCATCCTTCAACATCTCTAGAAGGAGAACACACAGAGGAGCTTAATGAATTTAAGTTAGTTCCAACTGCCATTCAAGATGGCTGCACACCTGGATGAACCCTGTGGGGCAAGGGGCATCTATAGTCGGCAAGCCATGTTAAAAATTGAATTGAAATGTGAAAAGACTATTAGGACAATTTTATACGTTCTCATAAAATACCAGAGGAGACAGCTAGGCTCCTGGGGCGAGCCATGGATTAATATCCCTGCAGGAAGGAGGAGGCGGAGAAAATGGAGGGACAAGAAGAGAAAGAGAGGATGTCATGCAGGCGTTCTTTTTAAGCTGAGAGGGGTTGAAGATATATGTGGAATATCATCCTTGCAGAAATAATAAGGTTGTCCCCCTCCCCCGACATTCTTTAAAAAAGCATGAAGACATAGTTTTGCCAGCAGGCCAGAGAGCTCAGGGTACTACGGAGCCCACCAAACGGTTGGTCCGATTGTTGTCATCAGGAGCAGTGACATGCTGTGAGCTTTATGGCTGGTGAGGCAAACGGGCAAAAGCCACCATATGTCTACCGCCCTATGTCTGCCAGCACCGGGGCTTTGGCGGGGCTTTCGGAAAGCCCCGCTAAAGCCCTGGCACGGCTTT